CTCAGGGAACTCACGAAGGGGCACCGGATCACTCTTCACCACCAACCTAGTGCCACGATGTTGGCGGACATCGCGACGAAACATCTCCCGAAGCAGCGATTCGCCACCATCATGCAACTCATCAAGGACTACAAGTGCTAGAAGATATTAAGCACAAGATCGCATAGTATGGTTGAATGTTTTGAACGCGTGTATTGCTCACAGGATGGATTCACTCATGTGGAGGTCGATATTCTTCGATATGGATTGGGAATCGAGGGGTCGCAAAAATGGCAGCGAAGTAATGTTTTGGAACATCGGCTACTTGCCTAATCGAGGTGTCGTGTCGAGGAAAACTGTTACACCGTAGGCAGGCACATACCATAGGTGCGACTGCGGCAGCTAGCCTTCCGTAGACATAATACAGAAAGAAGAGATGGTACTCAGCAGAGAACATGAGCACAGAGTTGTAGCGGAGATAATTCGGCAGGCGAGACTGTAGTTGTTTTTTTTGTTCCGAACCCCGAAATTCCGGTACTCGGACCGTTACCCCGGAGACCCTCGGAACCTGCTGTGTTGCTGCTTGTTTTTTTGTTTTGTTTTTTTGTTGAGATAAGACACAAGCGCGCCTTCGCCCCTTGTGCTCACTCTCATCTAGCACCCATCAAAGCCTGACCAGGGAGTCAGTTGATAAGATCATCTATCTACATTTCTCGTTCCAAGGCTCGCTCGGGCCTGCCGATCTCAAAGCAGTGTAGACCAACCTCTGTGATAGACTACAAAGTCTACGAGCTACAGCAGCACCGCCACCTCCGCTGCTGCAGGACGCCACATTCTGTGAACGTTCAGCCTAGCCTTTTTGAAGCGGGTGCAATAGTGGAGAACAGGTTCGAAGCTCCACCACAGGGGAGGGATACAGCGTGGAGAGGGATGCAGGCAAACGTTGTCGACGTATTAACGTCCCCCGAAGAACGACGCCGTCTGTTTGAGCTACGGCGGACTAGAGATTCACGAGTTCTGACATTGGCTGTCGCTCCGTGTAATGTCGATGAGGGTTAACTCGAGCCCTGCGAACGGTTGTCATCCTTGTGGAGTTGATGATAGACTAGATGTCCACCGAGTTACCCGAGAAATGTACGCACCTGTCTCCTGTGTGCACGGTTGTGGCGGGATGAGCGCTTGCGTAGTCATACTCGGCGCTGCAGGCGAGGTTACAATGCAAACGAGCTTGGAGTACAAAGAAGTCCTTCTTATGAAATGTAGTCTTGAAGTAGCCCCTCGGTCGATCCGGAACAGTTGGGCCCTTTTTTCGTTTAGCTCTTGAACAGTGGTGCTCTTTCTGCAAGATGTAGCCTCGATGGGTTGACCGCCATATTTACACACGTCACGTGCATAGAAGATTGCTGGACGGTGGAGTGAGGCCTGTGAGGTGACATTCGTGGCATGCATGTGTATTGATTGCTGGATGGTTGAGTGAGGGTAGGGTTGTCGTGGGATATTCAGTGGTGTCATGTGTATGCATCTTCAATGATTGTGTACCCTCGAAGTGTACCCCCGAAGTAGTCGGTGTTTCAGTTCTTTGTCCCCGCCTTAAAATCACTCGTCTCTCATAGGGTCGCCACCCCCGTAGGATGTGTGATGGTAGTGCTACAAGGTGCTTCAAGAGTAAGTCGTTTTACTGTAGAAATGTGATCAATCATCATTCGTAAGGAGAGTATTCTTGTCTTTACTTCAACAAGATCGTCGGTGCATCATGGAGGCTGACATATTGACAGGCCACCCGGCGATCGAACTACACGTTTTAGTGGTGTGCGATATTTTGCGTCGACCAGCTTCTTGCATATCGGGCAGAATAGAGTAGAGCAGCTACTCGGGTAGAACAGCTACTCGGAAAAAAGTAGCGGCGAACGGGCCTACTACATAGCGAATGATACGAATATCGAAGCGGCAGTGTAAAATGGGCCCATAAACGTGACCCCCCTACCGTAGCATGACTCAAACGGAGGATTTTCTGGTACACTAAGAGTAGCTAAGTGGAAATTTCCGCCGCTGGGTTTAGAGGCAGCAAGCACACTACTCTTGGTAGGTGCGACGGAGCGCACACCGTTGGAATTTGCTAATATGCACACCACTCTGCGCTCTGCGAATCGTCACGAGAAAGGCTGGCGCGCCTGTTCTCAGCGCGACTCTCAAACAGGCGTGCCAGTTGCTCGGCCGGATCAGCAGCACGGGCACCACTCTCGCGTGAAGCGAGAGAGAGTAATGGACCAGGCAACATGTCGGTTTGCCCAACGGCAGTAGAGCTACGGCCATCAACGGGCCACAAGTCTAAGGGCGCAGACCGCCGAGACGGCGTCTCCAACAGAGGGCTGTCAGACACAGAGTCCTCGGTAGCATCACGGTGAGACATACAACGAAGGAAAGAAGAGAAGCAAGCCAGGCAACGCTTCCAGAATTTTCGAGTGCAAGAAGAGCCGGCAGATCTGACCAAATAAATACAGAAGGAAAGGTTCCAGAGACAGCTCGTACTTTTACTGCAAACGATGCCAAATGTGATGAGAACGCGTAGCTATCCCTGAAGACCCGGATGATGACTCACTTTGTTCTTGTCATCGTTCTTGTTATCTCTCATCACAGCAGTACACTTGCTGTGTTCCCAGCTCCGTAGATAGCCTGAACGGAAGGGGGCGCGGGCGGCTCCTTGCTGAAAGGGGGGATGTTATGGCTTTAGCTCCAGTTTAGCAATGATCCAAGGGAGTTGCAGTTCCCGCCAGATCTACATATCTTGCCGAGAACTACCGTTCAGATCCTTGTACTCAAATCCCACAACATTGGGCACTGCCCGCGAAAACAGCACATATCTCCGTGTGTGTTGTTGCTCGCCTAGGGACTACTTGTTTTTTTTTTGTCGCCCCGTTGTGGTAGTTCCCTGTAGCGGCCTCGACACCTCTCGATTCCAAGGGCAGAAATGTTATGGAAATATTGTCTCATGTCCTGTACTAGTCAATGTTTAGCATTGCTCTCTATCGTAGATCATGCATCGTAGATACTGTATGTTTCGGTTCATACATAACGCATCTGTATGCGGAGGAATTACTGCTGTAGCATTCTCTGCTCGAGGGATCGCGTGTCTCTCACTCGCGCATGAACCTCTCGCATGGACTTCTCTGGATAGTCATGGCTCCTAGCTTTCCTGGTCATCTCTAGGAACGGCTGTCATCTGGACCTCTGCGTTCTCTGTGGATCTATCTGCGTGTGTTGGCCAACTAAGCGCCAGCGTTCAACATATCTTCACGTCTCCACACAGCACAAGTACTCCTACTTCTGCTCTTCAACCGCTCGCGGTGCCAACCATCTCGAGTAGCATCGAGAGGCACAGCCTTGCTCACTTGTCAAGGGCATTTCAGACGATATTCACAACAGAAATCTTCTTCATTCTAGGTCTTGCATCTGTTTCAAAACGCAAGGTGGACTTGTAGGTACACTGCTTTTGATTTACACGGAGTAACTCTTTGCGTGGCGTGCGCAGCTTGGAGCGCGAAGTGAACGACATAAATGGATATAAATGGACGCAGAGAGTACCTCGTTCGCGGTGGTGGGGAAGGTCTGGAGTTGGACCTATCTTTGTGGCGTATCGTGAGGGGGGACGTACGTTGGGTTTGTTTGGCAGATCATCCATAGACTAGTGTCTTCGGTGTCGCCGAGGGTTTTGTTGCGGTATAATTGGTTCACTTAGCGTTCGTGTAGGCTTGGTCAAAGGGTTTGTGCAATAAAGCTGTTGAGCGCTAAGGCCGCAGTAGTCCGTCCTGTGGTAGATGTTTCATTAGAGCTACCGAGGGACGGCTTGGTGGTTACAGGCCCTTCTTTTGCGAAGAGGCACCTGCAACCTTCAATCCGTCGTTCCGAATGTCTAACGTGTCTCTCCCATCAGGCACTGCTTTGGCGGGGCCTATCCCTGATAAAGACACACCTCATGCCTCTGCTTACAGACTCTTGAGTGTCGTGTGTTCTCTTCCAATAGCCGGTAGAGTCTGCAAAGTAGCATATGCGGTTGCCGTGTGGCGACCGGTGTAAGGACCAATGTTTTTATCATGGGATTGTCTGCACCTGCTTGACAGATGATCAATGTCTTGTAAGCGTATTGGAGTCTAGGCCCACTGGTGACCCGAAACGTCCACTCCTACCGTTCCAACTGGGCACATGCACCCTTGCTCAAAGGACAATGAATGGCATAAACGTGTTTCGAGAGGAAACATTGTAACCAAACCCATGGATGGTTCGTATTCCGTCGGCAAACGACGGTCCTTGGCTTTCTGTTTGTTGACGCAATCACAACAGGCAAACCCCGCGCAACATGTATCGAAAAAAACTGAGGATGAGCCAAGCCGTACGATACGAGACTATCCATCCCTGGCTATGATTTTTCAACCCTACCCACGACAGCATTGAATATCCCCGATTATGGTTGAACAGCCTCTAACAGCAAGGAGGCGCTGAGAACTCTGCTTGCATCCAAACACAGACGAAGCTACACCAGAAACAAACAGAAAGAAAATGTAGCGGGAGATGAGAAACAAAGGGAATCTACCGTAGCCCTCCCTTACCCCTGACCCTGAAGGTAGCTTTGCAGCCTTGGGGTGGGAGCGCCGAAGTACTTTGACGTCGAATTGCCGCAGAAGCACGAGTGCCAGTTGGTCAGAAATCCTAAAAGTGCGTATTGCTTGCCAAGGCCGCATGCACTGAGACCAACCTGCTGCTTCTTTGCGTAGTCTACGTAGGGCCACAAGGTGACGATCTTCCCGACCCCCACTCTACGGTCACGCGGCACGAACGAGCTCATTGAAGTGTTGAACATTTCGTGAGCTTCCGTCAACACGCCCTTGAAGGGGGGCCATCAGCCGTGGGGATAGCTGGTACGCGGGATCCCCTTATATGAAGCACGGAAGGCCATGAGCGTCGTTTAACCACTGCTGCAGTGTCTGCATGAGTCCACTCTCTCCCAGCATCACGAAGACATGGCGACAACCAAGCGAGCTATGCTACGGTAGGGGGGATACCCCTCGTGACCGGCTTTTTGTAATCAATTAGCTATNATAACGCATCTGTATGCGGAGGAATTACTGCTGTAGCATTCTCTGCTCGAGGGATCGCGTGTCTCTCACTCGCGCATGAACCTCTCGCATGGACTTCTCTGGATAGTCATGGCTCCTAGCTTTCCTGGTCATCTCTAGGAACGGCTGTCATCTGGACCTCTGCGTTCTCTGTGGATCTATCTGCGTGTGTTGGCCAACTAAGCGCCAGCGTTCAACATATCTTCACGTCTCCACACAGCACAAGTACTCCTACTTCTGCTCTTCAACCGCTCGCGGTGCCAACCATCTCGAGTAGCATCGAGAGGCACAGCCTTGCTCACTTGTCAAGGGCATTTCAGACGATATTCACAACAGAAATCTTCTTCATTCTAGGTCTTGCATCTGTTTCAAAACGCAAGGTGGACTTGTAGGTACACTGCTTTTGATTTACACGGAGTAACTCTTTGCGTGGCGTGCGCAGCTTGGAGCGCGAAGTGAACGACATAAATGGATATAAATGGACGCAGAGAGTACCTCGTTCGCGGTGGTGGGGAAGGTCTGGAGTTGGACCTATCTTTGTGGCGTATCGTGAGGGGGGACGTACGTTGGGTTTGTTTGGCAGATCATCCATAGACTAGTGTCTTCGGTGTCGCCGAGGGTTTTGTTGCGGTATAATTGGTTCACTTAGCGTTCGTGTAGGCTTGGTCAAAGGGTTTGTGCAATAAAGCTGTTGAGCGCTAAGGCCGCAGTAGTCCGTCCTGTGGTAGATGTTTCATTAGAGCTACCGAGGGACGGCTTGGTGGTTACAGGCCCTTCTTTTGCGAAGAGGCACCTGCAACCTTCAATCCGTCGTTCCGAATGTCTAACGTGTCTCTCCCATCAGGCACTGCTTTGGCGGGGCCTATCCCTGATAAAGACACACCTCATGCCTCTGCTTACAGACTCTTGAGTGTCGTGTGTTCTCTTCCAATAGCCGGTAGAGTCTGCAAAGTAGCATATGCGGTTGCCGTGTGGCGACCGGTGTAAGGACCAATGTTTTTATCATGGGATTGTCTGCACCTGCTTGACAGATGATCAATGTCTTGTAAGCGTATTGGAGTCTAGGCCCACTGGTGACCCGAAACGTCCACTCCTACCGTTCCAACTGGGCACATGCACCCTTGCTCAAAGGACAATGAATGGCATAAACGTGTTTCGAGAGGAAACATTGTAACCAAACCCATGGATGGTTCGTATTCCGTCGGCAAACGACGGTCCTTGGCTTTCTGTTTGTTGACGCAATCACAACAGGCAAACCCCGCGCAACATGTATCGAAAAAAACTGAGGATGAGCCAAGCCGTACGATACGAGACTATCCATCCCTGGCTATGATTTTTCAACCCTACCCACGACAGCATTGAATATCCCCGATTATGGTTGAACAGCCTCTAACAGCAAGGAGGCGCTGAGAACTCTGCTTGCATCCAAACACAGACGAAGCTACACCAGAAACAAACAGAAAGAAAATGTAGCGGGAGATGAGAAACAAAGGGAATCTACCGTAGCCCTCCCTTACCCCTGACCCTGAAGGTAGCTTTGCAGCCTTGGGGTGGGAGCGCCGAAGTACTTTGACGTCGAATTGCCGCAGAAGCACGAGTGCCAGTTGGTCAGAAATCCTAAAAGTGCGTATTGCTTGCCAAGGCCGCATGCACTGAGACCAACCTGCTGCTTCTTTGCGTAGTCTACGTAGGGCCACAAGGTGACGATCTTCCCGACCCCCACTCTACGGTCACGCGGCACGAACGAGCTCATTGAAGTGTTGAACATTTCGTGAGCTTCCGTCAACACGCCCTTGAAGGGGGGCCATCAGCCGTGGGGATAGCTGGTACGCGGGATCCCCTTATATGAAGCACGGAAGGCCATGAGCGTCGTTTAACCACTGCTGCAGTGTCTGCATGAGTCCACTCTCTCCCAGCATCACGAAGACATGGCGACAACCAAGCGAGCTATGCTACGGTAGGGGGGATACCCCTCGTGACCGGCTTTTTGTAATCAATTAGCTATTGGGCCCGTGTTGTGTGACGCTCTCCAATACTTATTGTTGTTACAATCAATCAGTGACTGACACGGGAACACAAGTAAGTGTGCCTACAGAATTGATGTATACTCTGGCTGGTCAGATATAGCGCAGTCCTGTGGTGTCGGTCACACATGCCCCATAATATGACCCCCCTACCGTAGCATTACTCAAGCATGGGACCCCACAACCGTCGAATGATACCGTCCGGTGTGTCTACAGCCTGGTATTTTAAGGCGTGCTTCCACTTCCAACCGTTTCGCCACAGTCTTTGCATGCACCACGGACGAGCGATGGCGCGTGTTGTACCGTCGACAAAGCCCCAGCACCGGTCAAGAGCAGCACCGCGATCCCAAATGGCCTGGCAGAACATGTCAATCTTCCGGAGGATGGCTTGGTGCTGTCATTTATCTACCAGGTACCCCCGCCGCTCGTGAATAGCCTCCTTTGTGAGGTTGAAGACCTCGCAGACCTTGGACTCCGACAACCCCCAGAACAGCTTATCCCGGCTCAACGTCGTCCGACGTGACAGCCGCCACAATGTCACGACCAGGGTCAACTGCATGGGGATCCTCGTCACGCCGAACCCTCCTCTGCAATCAATAGTAGTACATAGATAGTCGAGACACACGACAAGACAGTTGTACAAACCCGGCGTCGAATATGGGCTCGGCACGGTGGGGGATGAATGCCCTTGGATGTACGGTCAATCAGTCCTCAGCCGTGCTGTTTGCAGGGCATTTCACGCAGCTAACTCGACGCAACACGGCCTACCGCTGTGCATACGCATGTACGCATGAATGCATACATGCTGCGGAACAAAGCATGTGATACGTACATGCATATGCGGCATGATTACGTGAGCCGAATGTGGACGTGGCCTGCTTCCCTACCAACGCACGAGAGCCACTGCTGTGCTGCTCACACCCGGCTACAGCAGTGGGACACGCAGTTGCTGTACCTGGAAATCTCGATCTCCACCGGCAGCTGGAGCAACTTCAGAAGCAAACGGAAACGCCGTTTCTCGAACCTGGTGAGTTTCCAAAGGTCGAAGCCGTCTATTCACAATATGTGGCGTTCTGCAGCAGCGGAGGTGGCGGTGCTGCTGTAGCTCGTAGACTTTGTAGTGTACCACAGAGGTTACACTGCTGGCATCGCGGTGCTGCTGTAGCTCGTAGACTTTGTGGTCTATCACAGAGGTTGGTCTACACTGCTGTGAGATCGGTAGGCCCGAGCGAGCCTTGGAACGAGAAATGTAGATAGATGTTCTTATCAACTGACTCCCTGGTCAGACTTTGATGGGTGCTAGATGAGAGTGAGCACAAGGGGCGAAGGCGCGCTTGTGTCTTATCTCAACAAAAAAACAAAACAAAAAAATAAGCAGCAACACAGCAGGTTCCGAGGGTCTCCGGGGTAATGGCCCGAGTACCGGAATTTCGGGGTTCGGAACAAACAATACAACTACAGTCTCGCCTGCCAAATTATCTCCGCTACAACGCTGTGCTCATGTTCTCTGCTGAGTACCATCTCTTCTTTCTGTATTATGTCTACGGAAGGCTGCTAGTTGCCGCAGTCGCACCTATGGTAAACTGTGCCTGACTACGTTGTAACAGTTTTCCTCGACACGACCCCTCGATTAGGCAAGTAGCCGATGTTCCAAAACTTCACTTCGCTGCCATTTTTGCGACCCCTCGATTCCCAATCCATATCAAAGAATATCGACCTCCACATGAGTTAATCCATCCTGTGAGCAATACACGCGTCCAAAACATTCAACCATACTATGCGATCTTGTGCTTAATATCTTCTAGCACTTGTAGTCCTTAATGAGTTGCATGATGGTGGCGAATCGCTGCTTCGGGAGATGTTTCGTCGCGATGTCCGCCAACATCGTGGCACTAGGTTGGTGGTGAAGAGTGATCCGGTGCCCCTTCGTGAGTTCCCTGAGGAAGAAGAACCGGAGCGCGATGTGCTTGGTTCTAGAGCTGAACATCGCGTTGCTGGCCACAGTCAATGCTCCGGTGCTGTCGCTGTTGATGGGTACCGATCGAAAGGTCTTGAATCCGATTTCCGTCATGAAGTAGGAGATGTAGACTGCCTCGCGAGCACTGAAGCTCAGCGCTTGAAGTTCGGCCTCCACGGTGTTCTGTGCTGCGAGAGTCTGTGCCTTGGCTCCGTAGCTGATCAGTCCCCCTCCTAGGAAGAACAGGTATCCGGTGGTAGACCTGCCGTTGTCTGGGTTGGCTCCAAATGACGAGTCAGTGAAGCACGAGAGTCTGAACTGCCCCTTCTTGTACACGATCGGAAGGTCTGGCGTTCCGCGTAGGTACCGTAGTAGGTGCTTGGCCGCAGCCATGTGGACCTGTGCTGGGTTTGCGCATGCCCGTGTCAGTTGGTGCACTGCGTATGACAGATCGTAGCGGGTGCATTGGGAAAGGTACAGGAGACTCCCGGTGATGGCCTGGAATCTCTGCTTGTCCTCGGGTCCGAGTAGTTGGTCTTGTGGCTGCTCGGTTGACAGTTCTGTTCCATACCCGGGGTGGCTGACCGGGTTTGCCTGTTCCATTCCGCACCGCTGTAGGATATCTCTCGCGTAGGGTCCTTGCGATATGGCTAGTGTGCCATGTTCGTAGTCCCGCTGCACTTCGATGCCGATTACGCGCTTGACCTCTCCCATGTCTGTCATTTCGAAGCTGTCCATGAGTTCCTTCTTTTTCCTGCTTACGATCTCCTTGTTTCCGCCCGTGATGAGGATGTCATCGACGTAGATCGCGAGGATTGTGAGTTCGTCCCCGCTTACGAAGATGTAGACACAGGGGTCAGAGCGAGTGCGCTGCCAGCCGAAGATGATGAGTCTGTCATTGATGGCGTCGTTCCACAGTGACGGGGACTGTGACAGGCCGTACAGACTTTTCTCCAGTTTGTAGACCATCATTTCACCTGTCGTAGGGTCCCTCTCCTCGTCGCCTGGCGCCGGCCTGACGTAGACGTCTCTGTCGGTGTACGCGTTCAGGAATGCAGCTACCACGTCCAATTGGTACACCTCCCATCCGTGTTCGCAAGCGATGGCGAATAGCATGCGGATGCTACCCAATCGGGTTACTGGAGCGTAGTTCCTTCCGAAGTGTCGTCCTGCCCGTTGGCGGTGTCCCCCCGCGACTAAGCGGGCCTTGAAGCGGCTGTCGGCCTTGATCTTGAACACGAAGCGTGTGTCGAAGATGTCCTCATCCTTCGGTACCAGGCTGATGCGTACTTTCTTAAAGACTTTGTGCTTGGCGAGATTACCCATCTCGGTGTCGATAGCGCTCTTCCACTGCTCGCGTTGTGGTGAGTTCATGGCTTCGGTGTACGTGCTCGGAGTTTTGATCTCTTGGTTTGTCTCCCCCAAGAACCCTTTGCTCGAGGTGCCCGTGGCGTAAGCATACGCCCGGACTTCGGCGAAGGGGTCTTCATCCAGGTGAGCAAAATCCGCCGCGTCAGTAGGGCATCGTTGCTGCGCTTGGTGGGTGAGATCGAGTAGTTGATCCTCGGTGAGCTCCAGTGGGTCGGGGTGGCTGACAGCCATGGCAGAGCGGCCTCTGTCGTTCATGTTCACTTCCAGAGATTTCGGGATGCATGAAGGGTCGATAGGGTCATCTGTGGGTTGGTGAGTGCGCGTGGCAGGACGGGTCACCGTTAATCGACGCATTGGGATGGGGGCTGGCGAAGCGGAGTCCGTGTCTGTTGGCGTCGTGGGTGATTCGAGTGTCGTGTCCTGCGATGTCCTGGATGGTGTCGTAGTCCGCGGGTTGTTGTTGCTGTCAGCTCCCCCAGCAGCAAAGTAGTTGTCGGAATCCATGCCCGCGTTGTTTTGGCGAAGTTCTGCTCGGCTGATGTTGTCTTGCTGCATGTTGCGCATCTCGTGCAGCAGGAGCTCTGATTGTGTTCCGTAGTCCACTTTGTTGTCTTCGTCGCCCGTAGAGGTACGGCGTCCGAGCAATGACGTGAAGTTCATCACGTCCTGGTCATATCCGAGACGGTCGTCCCACCGGTGAGAGGGGATGGTGTTGGGTGGAGTCTCGATGAAAGTCACGTTCCGGCTCTCGTAGACCTTGTCTTTGCCCTCCACGTAGATCCGGTACGTCTTGCTGTCAGGTCCGTAACCGAAGAGCTTGCCTTCAAAGGCCCGGTCGTCTAGCTTCTTCTTGTATCGCTCGTGATGAACGAATGCGCGGGCGCCGACGGCACGAAGTCGAGAAAGGTCCGGGGTTGTGTTGTACATCTTGGAATACGGCGTGGCTCCCCCTAGCGCCGCGTGTGGGGTCCTGTTGGTCAGGTATGCTGCAGTCATCATGAGCTCCCCCCACATGTGTTTTGGGAAGTCTCCATCGCGCAGTAGAGCTCGAGTCACAGCCGCAAGTGTCTGGCCATCCCTTTCTGACACTCCGATTTCTTGGGGCGTGTTGGTCGCGGCGAATTCCAGCTTGATCGCAGACTCCCTACAGTAGTTGCGCATTTCTTCCCCAGTGTTCTCTACCCCTTTGTCACAGCGTAGAACCTCGATGCGGTAGCCTTCAGATGCTACTTGCATGTTGTAGGCGTGCAGAGCTTGCGTGGTTTCGGTCCTGTCGCGCAGTAGGTACACTTCCCGCATTCTGGTGAAGACGTCGGTCGCTTTGGCGACATAGGAGTAGGTGCGTCCGTTGTACTTCGCAGGCGGGTCGATTGGTCCCATGTTGTCGAACTGGACGAGTTGGCCTGGTTTGGTCAGGACACGGCTGGTCTTCTTCGGGACGGGAGCCTTCTTGTGCTTCGTGATTTGGCAGTTGTCGCACGGAGATACAGGTCCGTCATATTTCACACCTGTGGCGGGGTTGCGCCGCAAAATCTCCATAGCACGTGGATTGATGTGGCCGAGGCGCCGGTGCCAGAGGTCGGCGCTCACGCTCATCGCCACTGAGCATGTCGCGTGCGGAGTGTGATCGATCTGTACCGCTTCTGGTTTTCCGAACTTCGGCTTGCGCCCTGGTTCTTGGTTGTTCGGGGGTGTCTTGCTTGTCGACGCTGGATCGCCCTTGAACGTGATGGCGAGGGTGCACATGCCTTGGTCTTGAGTCTCTTGTTTCAGAGGAACGACGACTTCTCCGCCGATGGTGAGGTGTGGGGTCTTGTCTTCCAGGACACATCGGAGGCCCTTCTTGAGAAGGGCCGTTGGAGCGAAGATGTTCCGGCCTAGTCCTGGCACGATGAGACCTTGTAGTTTGACGGGTAGTTGCTGTTCTTTGTCGTCTTCGATGGTGCAGTGTAGGATCCCAGTGGTAGTGCCTCGTAGTTGGCTTTCTCCTGCAACGTCGATGATCTTGGGCGTCGGGCGTTCTTCTTCGAGACGTCCATTCGGGATGAGGCGGTTGTCGAACATGGTCTCAGAAGCTCCAGAATCCACCAGCGCGGAAGTCCCAGTTGCAGTTGTCGTGAAAGTGCGTCCGCTTCCCTTGCTGCATGTAGCATGGTACATGAATCCACCCTTGAATGCATCTTCGTCGTAAGAGAAGTCGATCTCTGCCTGTTCGGTCTTCTCTGTTTCTT